TATACATGAGATCGTATTATACATGAGATCGTATTATACATGAGATGGTATTATACGTGAGGTCGTATTATACGTGAATAAATACGGTAATCCTCATGTCGTTATGACAACTCACAGATAAGTTTATTGTGTGCCTCCAGGTGGGACTCCGTCAGCAGGACATGTCTCTGCTGTGCCAGCTGTGGTCGCTCCACGAGTCCATCCAGGAGTACAAGGGCAGCTGCCACGACCTAAGCTCCGCCTCCAGCCTCAGCATGATGGAGAACGGCTTCTTCGACGAAGACGACGAGTTCTACCCGGAGCCGGGGGCCACGCCCACCGGGGAGCGGCCGGACGGAGACGTCGGGGACGAGACGCCGACCGTGGCGGCGGCCAAGAACGGCAACGAGGAGCGCTGGGGCTCGTTYCACGTCAACATCTGACGCCTGGTTTCTGGGCTGCTGTTCTGCAGACAGATTCATTGTTTGGCTGGAGGGAAAGGAAAGACTTCAGGAACCTGTCAGAGTGTCTGGTTAGTTTGTTGTCCAACGGTGAACAAGTCCAGCCTAACCTCAGCTCCTCCTCAGGTCAAACACACATCGTGCTTTTTCCTGCAGACCCTCAGCGTCAAACTGCAGAGAACAGACTGAATGTTTTCCTCTCAAACTGAGAAATATCTAACTGTTTATTAACAGCTGTCCTGCTTCTGTATCAGCCAGGCTCAGCTTCTTTTTCTACTTTAAATATATGAAAAAAAGTTTTATTATTTATTACATAATATAAAAAGCAGAATAGTCTTTTTCTCTCTCTGTACTCTTATTGAAAGTTTTCTGCTGCACCTCTAACCCAGGTACAGTCTCACTGCAAACCAGGACTTATATAAAAAAAAGACTTGTAACTTTAACAATCAGGAGATAAACGTCTGTGGACAGGCTGATTGTGTGTTCTGGTGGTGAAATAATGTATCAGAGGTGGAATTACTGACAAATCTTACATTTTACCATGATTCTGACCATGTGGTGCGAGTTTTACTCCCATCTCAGTTACACTCATCACTTCTCACAACCTGCTTTTTTAGCTTTTTTAACTTTTTAGCAAAATAAGAGTTGCAGAAACTGGTGACCCCATATTTCTGGTTTGCAAATTTTGATAATAACTCTGTTAAACATGACAATTATGATACTAGTTTTATTCATTTGATTTTTTTGTGCAATAATTATGGTGAAAATACTCATTTTGCAATTTATTTGCATTTAAATTATTGTCTGGAAATCATTTAGTGACCCTCATTTAACGTTTCATGACCCACAGAGTGGTCCTGACCACAACTTTGGGAACCATAAAGGATCACTGCTCTTGGTAAAATTAAAATATACAACAGATAAAGTTTTTTATTAGGGCTGCAACAATACATGTACCTGTACGAACAGTGCTTTAGGTTCAATACACACTATGTATGGAACAATACACATATTTAAATTAACTTTATCAACTTGTCTTCTGAAGATGCTCTGTGTTGAAGGATCAGTGGATCTGTGTTCGACTACTCCACCTAGGCTGCATTTTGGAGCACAGATCCACTGAGAAACTTGCTGTTTCAGCTAAATTTAAGTTTTAACTGAATTTAAAAACTGTACTTTTGAGGTTAAACAAATGTTCATAATTAATTTAAATAAATTACAAGTTAAAAGGGGCATGGAC